TATTTATCTCGTGTGAGACTGACACAACCTGCCAAGTTATTTTAGGAGCCTGCTTGAATTCCCAGCAAGAAGGCCACCAGCACGATTTGTAATTACAACGTCTGGCTCCATGCCCTGGCTTCATGGGTCAGTCACTTCTGCAAGTCTCTTCCCATCTGTCTGTTTCCACATCTATAAAGTGCAAGTTAAATCATCCTAACACTACTCACCTTACAAAGTTTTATTGCTGATCATTAAGAAAGGAAAGAATGTATAAACCGTGAAGTGCCATGGAAATGTTAGTGGTTAGTTTATCAAGAAATAGACACTCTAGAGTGGAGTGGAAAGCAAACAGTTATGATCAAGTCCTCTTCTTCTTTTTTATTAATTTATAAAGAAAAGAGGTTTAATTGACTCACAGTTTTGTATGGCTGGGAGTCCTCAGGAAACTTACAATCGTGGCAGAAGGCAAAGGGGAAAAAGACACCCTCTTCCCAAGGCGGCACTAGAGAGCTCCTCTTCTTTTTTTGTCATAAAGTCTACAGAAGTGCTTATACTTCAGGGCAAGGACGGGCAGGGAGAAGAAATGACATTACTGCACCCCAGCCCTCATTAACGAGTTTGCTAGGGGCCTCACTTTGTCCCAGTGTAGGGGCAGAGCTCTGGCCACTACCTATTCAGAATGCCTGGGCTGCATTGCTAGTTCCCCACTAACTCTGTGACCTCAGGCAGGGTTGTGCCTGTGTTAAAAGATTATGACCCTGGGCTCTCAAGCTAGAGGATCTAAATTTGAATCCTGGCTCTGCAGGAGCAATTAGTGATGTAACCTTAGATGGGTCAGTTAACCATCCTGAAGCTTAGTTTGCTCATCTGTAAATAGGGATCACAACAATACCAATACCATTGGGTTGTTAGAGTGAATCAGTTAATGCAGGGTAGGTACTTAGCATGACATGTATTCACTATCATTTCCTGGAGTAAGAGCTGTGTGTGAGTGGGTATGAGCATGTGTGAAACCATTTCTCTGCAATCTCAGTTAAGAAACCAATGCAGATTTTAAACTTCAGGGCCTAACGGTGTGGTTATCTTCTCCCAGTTCCATCCTATCCCACCTTTGTTCTTCCTCCTGTCCACAGGAGCTCTTGGTCCTTCATGGTAGACCCAGGTCTTCCAGCCCAATCAAGTGATTTATAAGAGAAGGAGAATAGAGGATAGGGAATGTCTGAAAATCCTACAGGGACATAGAAGTTGAGAGAGGCAGGCAGACCTGCAGGAGTCTTCTGATTGGGACAAGGAGGACCTTGGTCTTCACAGGCCAATTCTGGTCAATTTCCCCCATGAACAGATGAGGAAACAGGCCCAGAAATGTCCAAGGTCTCACACTTCTCATCCATCAAGTCTTGTTGATTCTGTTGTATTCATGTCTTTCAAAGAGAGAGAGAGCTGCAGTGAGCTATAATCACAGCACTGCACTCCAGCCTGGGCAACAGAGTGAGACCCTGTCTCAAAACAATTTTTAAAATAAATAAATAAAAATAAAACTTAGATACCACCTGGCCACCCCAACCTGCAAAATCAAGTGTTGCCTTACTGAGAAGAATGGGGACTTGAGAGCGGAGTTACAGAGAGATAATCTTCCTAATCTTCCTTTTTTTTTTTTAGTTTACATCCTCAAGATCATGACCTGTGAAATTTGAATCTAATACACAAATCATTCCAGAGCAATGCTGCCTCCCCATACCACCAGCAATTAAGTTGGCCATTGGAAGACAGGACAAGCTTTCCACAAGAGAGTTACCACTTGGGCTACCAATATAAAAAGATGAAAATATCAGAGTGATGGTGTTCCATACATCACTGAGTCCCTGGACATCCTTGTCCACTGATGCTGGTATCTGAGCCTAATGCTTCTCTGAATGTTCTTTGAGATTTAACTTTGATCCAACACTAACTAGACTGAAAAAGAAGATAAGTCTTTCATGGTTGATAAGGACACTGTATTTCTCATATTTGTAAGATTACTTTTCCTCGGCTGTGCTATAAGTATCTGCTTATTTGTCTCTGCTTTATGTCTTTAGGGTAAAGAGTTGACCAAGACCAAGAATAACGTCTGGGAGCACAGCTTTAAAAACATGATGAGCCAGGCGCTGTGGCTCACGCCTGTAATCCCAGCTCTTAGAGAGGCAGAGGCGGGAGGATAGCTTGAGCCCAGGAGCTTGAGACCTGCCTGGGCAATACAGCGAGACCCCGTTCTCCACAAAAAGGAAAAAAACAAGACCAAAAAAATAAAAATAGGGGTAAAAACATGATGAATGCTTTAATACAGGAAATGAGTAGGTGAGAGGCATTTGGTGGTTGGGTGTTCTTCCAATACATAGTATCTTCCTTGACACATTCAGTGTGACTCTCAGTAGGCAAGTCCCTACATGTTAGAAGATATTACCTTCTGTGGAATTAAGTGGCAGAACGTGCCTTCAATTATCTTCCTTTGCAGAACAAGACCAATTGCATTAGTCAGGACATAGTGCTGGCTATGTTTTAGGTCTAAGTAACGATTAGTCTATCACTGTTGGTATAGATTCCAACCAGTCAGACTACCTCCTGAAGTTCGTAGGGCAGGTAAATCGTCATCTTAGAATAAAAATCATCATAGCCAAGTATGTGTTTTAGAGGAAAGAATAAAACATATTTGTTTCCTTAAAAAAAAAAAAAAAAAAAGAAGGGCTCTGGATTTAGGTGAGTGAATGAAGCTGTTGATAGTTATCAGATGACAATGGAATCTTTATTTGTCTGAATGTGTTGTGTGCACCTCCCAGGGTGGGAACATAGAGAAGGAGATCCTCCAGTAATGCCAGTGATATGGTCAGAAACTGCATCTTTTTTTCTCCCTGCTGAGATGAGGTGGAGTCCTTTGTTCCAGAAGACCCACAGGGGGTGCTGCTGGGAGTAAACCCTTGAGCCAGGAACATGAATCTCAACCAATCTGCAGTTGCAGCCTTGAGTCTCACTATTTCCCATAGTGACACTTAGCAGGGAATGGCAGGTGCACCAGAGCAGCATAGGACCTTCCATGTCCCTTCCTGTTAGCTTTTTAGAATATTTTATTGTGATCAGTAGCAGTTGGGAAGCCACTTGCAATCACTGAGCCTCAGTTTCTACATCTGTAAACTGGGAATAGTAGCGTGGCCATATTTAATGTGCTCAATGAAGCCACTGAAAGGAGACAGAAATGGATCAGAATTCCTTGAACTTTTATCCTAGTTCTCCTGGGGATTGTCACCCACCCTTCCATGTCTGTCCTTTGTTGGTATGACACTTGCTGTCACTTCTTTCTTTAAGTACCTCTCTGTAGGGCTCTGTTATTCCAGGGATTCCAGTTATTGGCACATGCATTCCTCCATCCAAGCATGTTTATATGTCTCCTGCTCCACTAGGCTGTCCCCAAGGAAGATGTGGCTCCCGGCACACACCTGGCACAATACTGCACAAGACATTCACCCACTTGGCCTTGAATCTGACACGCAATCTGGCATGACATTCACCCACTCAGGCCAGATGCTGAGCAGCCCTGGAGGCTTAGGGCCAGAGGGATGGGAAGGGTTGCCTTTCTGGGGTGAGTATCAGTTTCTACAGGAAGGCTGAGTGTGAGAAAGAATAAAGAAGGAAGTGCACAAGCACAGCCTAAACATCTTCTATTTCTACTGAGTTTTAAGAACTCTGAGATTTTGTTTGTCATTTAATCCACCATTCCTCAGGCCAAGCAGACACAGAACTTGGGTCAGAGTGATGATAACAAGCTGATACAATTTTCACACCCTCATCACTGAGATCTCTCCCATCAGAAATGGGTTGGGGGGCTCACAGGTGGCAGCAACTGCTATTACAGGCCTCATCTCTGCCACCTCCTGGGGCCTGCTCTCATCCCATTAGAAAATCCTCCATTTGTCAAAAAGGAAGCCATTTGCTTTGAATCCCAATTCCACCCCTAAGAGACTGGGAACATATTGGAGTCCTTGATGCTGTGTGAGCCTGCAGTGACCGCTGCCCCATCATTGCTGGCTAAGGTGGTTGGGATCCACCTGGCCATCTGGGCAGCTGTTCTCTTCTCTCCTTTCTCTCCCACTGTTTCTACACATGGAGTATTTCCAGAGAGAAGTGACCACTCTTTGGTAAAGAACCTGTCTAACTTGCTATCTACTGCAGGGCTTTTGAAGGGTTCACAGGAAGCAGCACAAATTGATAGTATTCCATGAAGCCATCAGCTCCATCTTATTCACACCCTGTCTCGCCTTTAGGGGTCCTCTTGCCAACAGAATCGCAGAGGACCAGCCTGACAGTGCAGAGACAGCAGCTGAGGCACAGCCAAGAGCTCTGGCTATAGGAATGACCTAAGAAGATGGAGTGGTCATTGGAAAGTCAGAGGGGATGACACATAGGGGCCCAGCAATCTCAGCCAAGTCAACTCTACCAGCCTTTCTGGTCACCAACTGTGTGTTCAGCACCCTGATAGGAGCAGAACCATGAGAGTGAATAAGACCAGATTATGCCCTTCAGGAGCTCATCTCGGGTAAGGAAAACAGGTGTGGAAATCCACAATGGTGGTCAAGAGGAAAGAGGACAACAGGATTGTGTGAAGGAAACGGTCATATCTGTGTGAGTAGGTTGGTGAGGAAAGACTCTAAGAGAAGGCTCTGTCTGGCTGGGCTTGGAAGGATGCATAGGAGTCTTCTAGGGGGCACAGGGGCACTCCAGGCATGGGTATAGATCTGTAGGTATGGCTTGTTGGGATGGATTTCAAGTATTCTGGAATGAAGACAGCCATGGAGACAAGGGCAGGAGAGAGGAGATTTAATAGGTTTCATGTCAATGGCTCCACTTGAGTTTCTGATAACCCCTATAACCCTTGGACTCTCCAGTAACACTGAATGACTTGTTTATGATTCCCCAAAGAATATGAACTCAAAGGAGGTCAGTGGGTGTGTTATGTGTGATTCTCTGCCAACTGCCAAGGTGAAGCCTCTTCCAACTGCAGGTGGAGCGCAGGTGGCCCTGCTACTGGCTGCAACTCCAGCCTTGCCTCCTGAATCCAGTACATAAACAATGCAGCAGCCTCACTGAATCACTGCTGTGCAGGGCAGGAAATCTCCACGCACACAGTCCAGCAAACAGCAGCACGCAGCTGAAAGGAAGACTTGGAGGAGAGAGATAAGGAAAGTAGTGATGGATTTCATCCCAAACTTGGCTGTGGAAACCTGGCTTCTCCTGGCTGTCAGCCTGGTGCTCCTGTATCTGTGAGTAACTGTCCAGGCTCCTCTCCCCTGTTTCCTTGGACTTGGGGTGCTAATCAGGACTCTTCTTTATCTGTTTTAAAGATCAAAAAGAGATGTTCAGGCCAGGTGCGGTGGCTTACACCTGTAATCCCAGCACTCTGGGAGGTCAAGGAGAGAGGATTGCCTGAGGTCAAGAGTTCAAAACCAGCCTGGCTAACATGATGAAACCCTGTCTCTACTAAAAATACAAAAATTAGCCAGGTGCGGCGGCGCATGCCTGTAGTCTCAGCTACTTGGGAGGTTGAAGCAGGAGAATCTCTGGAACCTAGGAGGCGGAGGTTGCAGTGAGCCGAGATCATGCCGCTGTACTCCAGCCTGGGTGACAGAGCAAGACTCCGTCTCAAAACAAACAAACAAAAAATAGATGTTCAAAGAGAAGTAGCTTAAGTGTTGGATGCTACAAACATAGAGATTATTACAGATCTTACGCAGATCTATAAAGAAATAAATAAGCATCTCCGCCATCCATCTTTAGTGACAAGAAGGGTTTAGGGACAGCTTTGATTGAGGATGATCTAATTGACAATAGTTTTGGACCCAGCTTACTAAACCAGAATTTGGATTTCACATTTTTCCCTTTACGTTGTGGTAGAAGATGATAAAGGGAAAAATGGAGGTATTAAAATAAACTGTCAGGAAAGTATATTTAAAAAGACATATGCAATCTTGTCATAGAGGTATACATTTGTGCATTAGACTCATACGGGATTATGAGTCTAATGCACAAATGTATACCTCTATGACAAGATTGCATATGTCTTTTTGTGGGATTCCCGGCATCCTAGAGCAGGTGGAGAGAAGAGTTACTCCCCACTGTGGGCAGTGGAGCCTTCCCATCTGTCACGTTTTACTTCTACCTCAATTTCACTTTTATTAAGAATAGGGAATTATGATGACATGAAAATAGAAAATATAAACCTCGTTTTAATTCTTTCACAGAATGGTTAGAAATTCAGTGCATTGTGGCAACAGTTTCCGTTTGCTGATATTTTAACATGAATTGCTATGGCTTAAATTTATTATATTTAAAACCAGATTTTTTTGGAGATAAACTATTTTCAGCATGTTCCCCTGGATGATAAAAGAGGGCTATTGGTTCAGTATTTGTGACAATAAATGTGTGTAAAATAACCTCACATTTCCAGAATAATGTCAGGAATATGAGTCTAATGCACAAATGTATATCTCTATGACAAGATTGCATTTGTCTTTAAAATATACCTTCCTGACAGTTTATTTTAATACCTCCATTTCAAATAAACCTGCTTAGCAGGTTATCATAAACTCTCAAGGCAGGGAAGCAAGCAAGACTGTGAGTGAGTGATGACAGTAAAGGTACCCAGGTAGGATCAGTATGAAGTGAGAAAATATTCCTTAGCTCTCAGGGTACAACTCCAAGGAGATATTTATGGGTCCTGGCCCCAGAGTGGAGGTCACTCAAAGGGCAAACAGGTTGGCATCTCATCTGCTTCAAGCCTGGACACGGGGCACCATCTGTGTCACTCTGTGTGTGCTTTGCCATGTTGTGGGGCTGTCACTACAGATTTGGGCAGCCGGGCAGGCAATACCTTAGCCTTAGACAATGCTGATGCAGCCCAGGAGTCAGAAACTGTAGTGTAGACCATGTCCTCCTTAGGCCAACATGATTACGTGCAATAGATGACTGGCTTTTCTGTTAGCCTCTTCATTGGAACCAAAAGCAGCATTACTCTACCAAACAGAGGACAGCTGGAAAGAAACTAAAGACTTCGCCCAGCTCACCCTCTGCCTTGACATGGTACCATGTGAGTCTAGACATTTGCCAAGATCTTTCCTCAGGGGCCAGTGCTGCTGACACATTAACTCAATAGTTTGTCCTGGCCTGAGAGGTCAGGTAACTTGCTTAAAGTTCAGGAGCAGAGATTAGTGTCATTGATTTGCGATGGCTGTGACAACAAAGGAAGGAACCGGAGTGGGAAAACCCAGGGCCACCCTGGTTTTAGTAATGGTGCACGCACTTCCACTAACTTTTCTGGGGGAAGGATCCAAATGCACTATTGGGCCTGGCTGTGCTGCCTCCTCTGGGTCCTCCAAACACGACCCCCCATGCAATTTCTCAGTTGTATTTTACCACATATTATAAGAGTCACTGGATTTGTACAGAATGTTTGGAACCTTTACTGCCTTAAAAGCTACCCTTTAAAGAAGAGAAAACGGTCTTAATTCAACTGTGGAATATTTTATGGTTACGTGGAATACTGCATCTTTTGCTATCAACAGGAGGGTATGTGGACATTAGAAGGCCCCTGTCTTTCAGCTGAAAGCACATACAAGGTGAACGGATCCATTTATACACTCCACACTATTCAGCCACATTTTCCTAATTTGCCTCTCTGGGGCCAACTATGTGGGACTAGCAGGTTCATGGCTGAATTGATGGCTGGCGACCCCTTCCATCAGCCTTTGTTCTTCCTCCAGTCCTCTACCCCTCAGTAACATCAGACTGGGAAAGTCTTCAGACATCCATAACCCCCAGCTGGGAGGGTCCATGCATGACCCATCAAAGATGAGCTGCAAGCAGGCCTGCCATAGGGAGCACCAGCCTTAACGGGTTTTCCTACAGAGATAGTTGATGTGCAGAGGCAACAAACTGACTGCTTTGTGACTGATCGCCTTGAAAAAAATGAGCATGTCTGGCTGTAATCATCCTTTCTTGCATTGCTATAAAGAAATGCCTGAGGCTGGGTAATTTATAAAGAAAAGAGATTTAGTTGGCTCATGGTTCTGCAGGCTGTACAGGAAGCACAGTGACTTCTGCCTCTAGGGAGGCCTCAGGAAATTTACAATCATGGCAGAAGGTGAAGGAGAAGCAGGCAGATCTTACATGGCTAGAGCAGAAGCAAGGGAGAGTGGGGAGGAAGTGCCACACACTTTTAAACAACCAGATCTCATAAAGTCTCATTGTCACGAGGACAGCATCCAAGGGGGGATAGTGTTAAACTATGAGAAACTGCCTCTAAGATCCAATCACCTCCTACCAAGCCCCAACTCCAGCATTGGGGATTACATTTCAACATGAGATCTGCGTAGGGGTACAGATGCAGACCATAGCACTGGCACCATGCTTATCAGGTGAATGATAAGGATGAGGATTCCCAAATCAGAGAAGAGTCCACTTATTAGATAGACATATGGGAATGAAGTGCCCTGGAAGACTTCCCACCTGAACCTCTCAGGAGCGCTCACGTTTGAGGACATTTATGAAGTATTCACTCCAGGATTGGGACCAGGAAGACTTCAGCTGCTTTTAGCTAATCATTGTGACTTTTTGGGGTCTCATGGTGGAGGCAGGAAAGGACCTGATGAACAAATATAATCTTTGCCGTTGGAGTTACTCTTATTATTTATTGCCTTAATGTTACCTACCTCTCTTGATAATTCCAGTTCCTCAGTCAGTGACTCACCAGTCCCTGTATCTATAAAGTCACAAACCCTGTGACCTGATTTCTGTTTCACTTTGTAGATATGGAACTCATTCACATGGGCTTTTTAAGAAGCTTGGAATTCCGGGACCCACACCTCTGCCCTTTTTTGGAACTGTTTTGTCCTACCGTCAGGTAAGTGTTCTGGAGCTCCCCGTTTTGCTTCTTGTGATGGCAAAGTGCAGCTTAGTTCCATCAGTAAAAATGCTTCTCCTTGGGAGGAAGGTCTGAGGTTTTACACTTTCAGAAACAGTGTGCAGACATCACCCAGAGCACAGCAAAGATTACCCCAGGGCTCTTGTTAACTCTCAGGAACCTCAGGTTTGCCTCAGTCAAACAGCCCAAATCTCAGGGAGATCGGCAACCTGATGTCAGAACTTGATGTGAAGACTTTGTGAGCATCATAAAGAGGATTTTCTTCTTGCTCCGTGCAGGTTCCCAGGAAGGTACAGTCATACTTAAAAGTAGTAACAGGACCTTCCGATTGTGGCTTCTTATCTGTGTACATGAGAGTCAAACTCTCCTCTGTGTAGCAAGAGCTCATGAGTTAGCCTTTTTTCCCTTCCTCCTGGATAGCTTTGAAATTCAGTTTACTGAGGACCCCAAGTATTTACCATTGGGTCGTTTGCACCTACTTGAATAGTCTCCAAAAAATGCTAAATTCCCTGATAGTATTTCCATGGCTCTACCCCAGCTCTTACTCCCCATGACATCTTTTGTAGTTTTGAGAGACAGAACAAAGGGTTTCTGCTTTACTTCTTCTCCTTCAAAAGCTGCACCCTATGGGTGAGTCTTAGCAGGGAGTGATGTAACTGAGATGAGATGGTGGTTGTCTATCAACCTGAGATATTTAAGCACAAAATGAATTTGTGTGTGTGTGTGCGCGTTTTACACAAAGATGGAATCACATGCGAAATCACTAGAAAGGGGACGATGTGACAAAATTATTAAGTATTTAATTTCGCTGAATAGAATGCCACATGTGCCACATGGACTGTGAACTTTGGCCTAGCCTTTATGCCTAACTGGGTCGGATGCTCTGCCAGGGGCCTGGCCCCTGGATGGAAAATGAAGAGCTCATGTCCACAGGGCCAGCAGCAGCAGTCAGCTCTCTGGCTTAGATCATCTTTCCTGCATACCTGAGTCTCATTTCTCAGATTCTAATTCTCCCAAGTGAGGGCTTTGTTGTCTAATTACTGCCCAGGAGCTTCCTATGTTTTCCCTCTGCAAAAGCAATAATTTCCCCACCACCTTTCCCAGGTCAACTCTTTAGTAGATATACCTCCAAAATACACATTTCTGGGACCTCTTTTTGCATAGTTAAAACGTCACCCCTGAAATGTAGAAACAGGAAGGATTTTTTAATTGTACTTTAGGTTCTGGGGTACATGTGAAGATCATGCAGGATTATTGCATAGGTACAAACTTGGCAATGTGGTTTGCTGCCTCCATCCCCCCCGTCACCTACATCTGGTATTTCTCCCCATGTTATTCCTCCCCGACCTCCCCCTTGGCCCCCTACAACAGACCCCAGTGTGTGATGCTCCCCTCCCTGTGTCCATATGTTTTCATTGTTTATCACCTGCCTATGAGTGAGAACATGTGGTGTTTGATTTTCTGTTCTTGTTTCAGTTTGCTAAGAATGATGGTTTCCAGATTCATCCATGTCCCTACAAAGGACACAAACTCATCATTTTTTATGGCTGCAGAGTAGTCCATGGTGTATATGTGCCACATTTTCCTTGTCCAGCCTATCGTCGATGGGCATTTGGGTTGGTTCCAGGTCTTTGCTATTGTAAACAGTGTTGCAATGAACATACGTGTGCATGTGTCCTTATAACACAATGATTTATAATCCTTTGGGTATATACCCAGTAATGGGATTGCTGGGTCAGATGGAATTTCTATTTCTAAGTCCTTGAGGAAGTGCCACAGTTGTTTTTAAGTTTCAGTGAAAACTCCGAGCCAGTGTCATAATTTGTTATGCTCGATGTGTAGAGGTGACATTTTCTCGTAACTTCCATGTTAAGCTGGAAAACTGGAAAGCAAGTTCACTTTGTCAGTCTGTTGCTCACTCATTTTCTCACTCAACAACATGCCTCAGACTTACCTAAATCTGCTAGACTAAAAGAGGTCCTTGGGGTCTGTAACTTTCTAATTGTGCTAGAATTCTAGAGCGAGCTCGTGAAATAAATGAAAAGGATGACGAACAAAGAGATCAAAGGCTGTGCATTCCCTTCTGACACTCACTCACGTTCCCTCAGCTTCAGTTTCCCCACTGTCCCTGGAGGTGATCATTCAGGGATTTATCAGATTTTAGAGACAACACATGAAAAAGAAAAAGACATTGAAAGACAAGGAGTTGCTTAGTATTTATCCACAAGGATAAGTCATTCAGTATCCACAACACTTGGAGGAAATTCAAGAGTGATTTTTAAATTTCCCATTTCAAAAGTCTCCTCTGTTTTCTCTCCTTTCCCTTATGACATCTCTAAATAAGCTTCCTCTAACTGCCAGCAAGTCTGATTTGATTGGACTCGACTGTTTTCAGTCCCATTTAGAGGCAGGGTTAAGTACATTTAAAATAATAATCAAATATTATTTTGTTTCTCCTCCCAGGGCTTTTGGAAGTTTGACATGGAATGTTATAAAAAGTATGGAAAAGTGTGGGGGTGAGTATTCTGGAAACCTCCATTGGATAGACTTGTTTCTATGATGAGGTTACCCCACTGCACAGAGGACAGTCTTAGCCCAGAGCCTCTTAGGATGAAGCTCTTGTAAACCTAACTATAAACAGAGAACTTCTCTGAAAGAAGAGGATAATTATTGCAATGGGAATCTGTGTGCTATTATAAACTATATGCAAATTCAGGGGGGCAAAGAAAGACAAAGATGCTCCAAGGAAAATAGGAGGGGGATTTCATATCAGTTTTGAAATAATTATCCCTCCCTACAAAGATTAATAACAAGGGTGGCTCCACACCAAGGTTGAACAGGCAGTTGCTAGGCAGGTGTCCTTGAAAAACTATTTTTATGTAAGGTTGGGATGGCCTTTGTGCAAGCTCGTGGTTTTGCAAAGTCTTTCATGGTAGTTTTGTTATCAGGCACACAAGCATGAGAATCCCCTCTTCATAGCCTTATTTGTCAGGGTTTTTACATACACACTCGCTTGCTCGCTCTCTCTCTCTCTCTCTCTCTCTCACACACACACACACACACATAGTGACATCATTTTGGTTCTGACAACGTTCACACTCACTATTGTAAAACTTTTCGAGGCTTGTCCTACCAAGGATGTTGAGCTCTTCAGTCTCAACTAGGCTGGAAGCATTGTGGTTACAACTCTTCTCCAGGCTTTGTTGGCTCAGGGACTCCCAGCATTGCCTTCTGTCCAGTGGCTGCCTATTCCCCTTTTCTTTTTTTCTTCCTTAGGTGCCCTTTTCTCACATGCATTGTCTCAGACTCTTCTAATATGTGCTCATGAATGCATGGCATCATCTTCTTCCCACATCAATTCACTTCCAATTAAAAGTCAAAACTCTTCCATTTAAACTTTGGAATTAATGTACTTTTAAAAGAAGGGTTAAGAGATACAGAGAAACAGACTGGGAAACCATTTATGTTCTGCTGGTTTTTTTTTTTTTTTTTTTCACTTTTCTCTGCAAGTGTGGAATTTTTCCTTCCATTTTGTTATTAAATTTAAGCCAAGACTTTTTAATAGAAGGATGTACAAGTATTTGTCTATACCTTTGTGCTGAATTTGAAGAGATGCTGAATATTCTTGAACCATTGTGTTCCCTGGGGGCTGATGGACTGTGATTTTATCAGGTGGCCTCAGCCAATTGCAGCAGCTGTTCCCTGTCAGAGGTGCTAGAGGTTTGGTGAGAGCAGTGGAGGAGGTGCAGTGGTGTGTGTGTTCACCAGAAGCAAGTGGGAGAAGCTCTTTGTGCTTCTTCCTCTTCTCTCACCAAGTCCTCAGAAACTGCAGTGCCGGCTGCGGGGTGCTGTGGAGCTGGCACGGCCCATACAGGCAACATGCCTGAGTAGAAAGAACACAAAGCTTGTGATGTCCATGGGTCCTACTCCAACTGCCCCTTGCAACATTTAGTCCTTGTGAGCATCTGATGATTTACCTGCCTTCAATTTTTCATGAACCTAATAGTCTTTTCAAAAATGAGATATTTTGGGCTGGGTGCAGTGGCTCATGCCTATAATTCTAGCACTTTGGGAGGCCAAGATGGGCAGATCACGAGGTCAGGAGATCAAGACCACCCTAGCTAACACGATGAAACCCTGTCTCTATGAAAAATACAAAAAATTAGCCAACTGTGGTGGCATGCACCTGTAGTCCCAGCTATTTGGGAGGCTGAGGCAGGAGAATTGCTTGAACCCAGGAGGCGGAGGTTGCGGCGAGCCGAGATGGTGCCACTGCACTCCAGCCTGGGTGACAGAGCGAGATTCCATCCCCAAAAAAATATATATATATTTAGACATATGAAACATTATGGATAGTGGCAAGGGAAATACCCACGTATGCACCACCCAGCTTAACAAATGCTCTCCTGTATTCTAAGCATGATCTCTTTGAGGAGCTCTTTTGCCTTTCAATGTCTCTTCCCTGTTTGGCCCACATTACCCTTCGTCATATGAAGACTTGGGTGGCTCCTTTGTTAGACTCTTGCCATGTGTCATACCTAATGAACTAGAACCTAAGGTTGCTGTGGATTGTACGAGTAGGGGATTATGTAATCTCAGGATCAAAGTCTGGCTTCCTGGGTTTGGCTCCAGCTGTAGAATAAGGCTGTTGATGTTTAATCAACTGTTTTTTTCCCACACAGGATTTATGATGGTCGACAGCCTGTGCTGGCTATCGCAGATCCCAACATAATCAAAACAGTGCTAGTGAAAGAATGTTACTCTGTCTTCACTAACCGGAGGGTAAGCATCTATTTTTTGAAATTTAAATGCTGATTGATTAAATTTTTATTTTGAAATTCTTATATATTCATATACAGTTACCTAAAAAATGTTCAGGAAGGTTCCACGTACGCTTCATCCTGCCCCCCCACAATGGTAACATATTGCAATCTTGCATAATTATAAATACAGTATATTCATGTTACTATAGTACAGGAAATTGACATTAATATATTGATACAGTTTACAGAGCTTATTCAGATTTCACCAGTTTTATGTGCCCTCATTTGTATATTTGTATGTGTAGTTGTGTGTGTGTGTGTTTTTGTTTTTGTTTTATTTTTTTTTTTCCAGGCCCCAAACTAAACTTTATTTTGAGTGGCCTCACAGAACACAGCCCTCCAGTCTTTCCTAGGCAACACCCTAAATTTAAAGGGACCTGCCAATGTCTTTTTTTCTTTTTTATTTTTTTTACTGTTTTTTTTTTTTTTTTCCCATTTATTTATTTTATTGCATTTTAGGTTTTGGTTTGTTTTCTTTTTGAGACGGAGTCTTGCTCTGTCTCCCAGGCTGGAGTGCAGTCGTGCAGTCTTGGCTCACTGCACCCACTGCCTCCCGGGTTCAAGTGATTCCCCTGCCTCATCCTCCCAAGTAGCTGGGACTACAGGCACGCACCACCATGCCCAGCTAATTTTTGTATTTTAGTAGAGACAGGGTTTCACCAAATTGGCCAGGCTGGTTTTGTGTGTGTGTGTAGTTCTGTGCAAATTTATCACATTCGTAGACTTGTGCAATGATCAGCATGATCAAGATGAATACCCATTCCATCACCATGTGGCTCCCTTCTGCTATCCTATAGTCACAAGTGTTTTTCTCTGACAGGGTCTATATCAGAGCAAACTTTGAGGTCAATGTATTAATATTTCCTTTTATGGATTGTGCTTTGGTGTCAAGTCTGAAAGTTCTTTGCCTAGCCCTTCTTCCTATATTGCTGTTTTTTTCTAAAAGTCATAAAGTTTAATGCTTTACTAAATGTAACTCTATTACCCATTTTGTGTTATTTTTTGCATAAGGTATGAGATTTAGATCAAGGTTTATTTTTTTGTGGCTTTTGGCTGTCCAGTTGTTCCAACACCATTTTTGGAAAGGTGGGCATATTGTTAAAAATCAACTGGGCTTATTTCTGTGCATCTCTCAATTGCTATTCTGTCCCATTGATCACCATGTTTATTCCTCCACCAATACCGCACTGTGGTGACTCTAGTAGCTGTACAGTAACTCTTTTTTTTTTTTTTTTTTGATCAATAAAAGCTTTAGGGATATCTGCACATGTACATTTACATTCAAGTTGATAACGTAGTTTATTTCAATACAAATTATGCTAGAGAACGCTTACATTTCAGACATGGTCGTACATGTGCTATTTGAAATTCTTCATCTTGATACAGATATTGATTGTGAATCTCTTGATGATAGATATACAGCTAATTTTTCCCAAAACTCATGAAGATAACTGTATTGCTTGATGATCTGTATTGCCCCAGATCCTCTTAGGTCATGCAGGCTGTCTATAGCTTGCTTTGGTGATACTGTGTCTGACAGGCTGTATAGTAACTCTTAACATCATGTAGAGTGATTCTTCCTACTTTTATTGACTTATTTTTTCAGATTTGTTTTAGCTTTTCCTGGTCTTCTATTTTTCCATAAAAATTCAGAATGAGTTTGTCAGTGTCTACAAATAAACCTGTTATTTTGACAAGAATTGAATTAAATGTATAGATCAACTTAGGGAAAATCTATATTTTTACTATGTTTGGTATTTCAGTTCATGAACATAGTATGCCTCTCCATTTCCTTAGGTTTCTTTTGACTGCTTTTAACATTTTGTAGTTTTCAGCATAGATATCCTGTACATGTTTTGTTAGATTTACAGCTAAGGTATTTCATTTTTGTTGGAGTGACTCTAAATTATATTATGTTTTTCTTGTATTTTCAGATATTGATTATTGTTACATAGAAATTTGCCTGGTTTTTGTGTGTTGATCTTGTATCCTAGAACCTTGCAAAACTTAGTAGTTCTACAAGTCTTTTTGTATATTCCTTGAGATTTTGTACATTGACAATTATGTCACCTGGAAATGGAGACAGTTCTTTTATTTCCTTTCCAATTTGTATGCCTTTTATTTTTTTTTTCTTGTCTATTGCATTAGGACTTCCCAGTATAATGTTGTGTAAATGCGGTGAATTTTTGAATTGTTCCTAATCTTAGGAGGGAAGCATTCGGTCTTTCATCATTAAGCATGATTTAGATGAAGTGGGTTTTTTTTTTTTTATTGTAGATTCCCTTTATCAAATTGAGGAACTTTCTCTCCCTAATTTGCTGAGTTTTTATCATAAATGAGTGCTGGAAGTGCTCATTATAAAACAAAATATGGTTGTGGAAGATGAAAGAAAGTTTCAAGCATTTTGGCTTGATAGGCCAGTTCCAAGTTGGCAAAAATAATTATCTCTTTTTCTTCCTATCTATGGAATAAAAAATTAAGAGAAAAGAATTTTCATGGAATCTCATTATTTCTTCAAAATACATTCCTAGTTTTAAAAATTTTACCTACTATTTTTTTTTAAATCACCACATCAAGGCACCTCTTTTTCACGTTATCCATGTTGTAGGTGAACATAAAGACAGAGCTTGTCTGAGGCCACATACAGTCCAGCAAAGCCACCTGCCTGTCTGTCACCACTCCCTCTCTACACTGTACAGTCCTGGGGGCAAGTACTAGGTCTTCATCCTGTCTATTCCACTGGAAGACCAGGCTCCCTACCATGTGGAGAATTTGCATACAAAAGGAGACTGGGATATAGAGGCTGGAGACCACATCAGGTGGCTGGGTCTCTTGAACACTGCCCCACACACAAATACATCCCAGGATACCGGGCATCTGGGATAAATCTCTATTGAGTATCTAGCATAGGGCCTGTCACCTAGCAGACAGTCACTAAATATTCGTTAATGTGATGCCTGTTTAACACATTTTCTACAACCATGGAGATCTCCACAACTGATGTAGGACAAAACGTTTCTGCTTTGAACTCTAGTCTTTAGGTCCAGTGGGATTTATGAAAAGTGCCATCTCTATAGCTAAGGATGATGAATGGAAGAGAATACGATCATTGCTGTCTCCAACCTTCACCAGTGGAAAACTCAAGGAGGTATGAAAATAACGTGAGTTTTCATTAGAAACTTAAAGAATGAAGCTGATGGGGACAGGTAGAAAGTAAGATCACCGTCCCTTTCCAAAGGTTAGTCCACTGAATTTGAGCTTGCTAAAAATGGTCTTTATGTTTATGTACAGAAAAGACATCACAAAATTCATTACAAAATGTCACTTACTGCTCCATGCTGGAGAAAGCCACGTCCTTCTGGGACTTGAGTCTGAGCATTTAACTGTGGGTGGTGTTGTGTTTTGTGCTTAGATGGTCCCTATCATTGCCCAGTATGGAGAGGTGTTGGTGAAAAACCTGAGGCGGGAAGCAGAGAAAGGCAAGCCCATCAACATGAAAGAGTAAGTAGGGGCACAGCCATGGGGTTCTGGGCCATCATTAGCCCCTCCAGCTGCCTGCCACGGAGCTAATATTGCCACTGTTGGGTTATTCCAGTGACCAGGCAAAAGGAGGGCTGTGATATTGCAACTCCCATGGGTCACCCAAGATGCGGCAACTCCCATGAGGAGGTGGGGCAGCTGGAGGTAAAGGGTCTTCTCCCCTGCGCACATGAGCCACGATTTACTTATCTGATAAACTGTCACCTTGAATATTCTGGAAGACTAAATACATACTTTAGGGGGAAAAAAGCATGATTATACTAAAGTTTTAAGTATGGAGTGTATGTGATGGTGGAAAGGGAAGGCACTTGGTATCTGTTGGTTGGCAGTGAGTAGGGTGGGAAAGTTATAATGGAGAACTTTAAATAACTTTGATCCTTTCATGGTTTTTCTGAGGATATCAGTAACATACAAAAGATTAAACATTCCCACTACTACTTTTTCCTCCAGTCTTAAAGAGAGAGGGTGCTAGAAACACCATGGGTAGGGCAAACCTATTATTTGCTGTCTACACTAGTATGTGCTTCAATTTTGCAGGAACAATGGGTGTAATCTGAGCCTGTCCTGGGCAGACTGGGGATATGTGGTCACTCTAGTATAGGAATTTCCAAATCAATTTTTGAGAGATTATTTTTAACCAGGACATTCTTGGTCATTATATTTTATAAAAATGATTCTGCCATCAAGGCAACCTCAGCTCACAAGAGCTGGGGATAGTGGAACTTTCCAAAGCTTTAGCAGGGAGTGTAGAGAATAAAGACAATACTTCTGGGAGCTCAGAACAGGATGTTGCTGTTAAATGCTGAAGAGGAATCAGCTCTGGGCGTAGAGTCTGTAGTCAAACATCACCTTTCTTGAATCCACTAGGAGGAGTTAATTATTCTACTCTTGTCCTGCTAAAGCATAATGCTTACACATCTTATATCATCCACACTCAACACATGCTACTGTAGTTGTCTGATAATGGGTCTCTGTCTTTCTATGACTGGGTTCCTTGACCTCAGAGGTGAGTCTAACTCAGCTTGGTGTCTCCATCACACCTAGCGTAGGGCCAGCTGCATCACTAGCACCTGATAGCCACCTTCTGAGGGGGTGTGATAGAAGATGATTGAGTAGATAGTTCTGAAAGTCTGTGGCTCTTTGTCTTGACTGGATATGTGGGTTTCCTGTTGCATATATAGTGGAAGGATGGTAGAGTGGTGCTGATTTTAATTTTCCATGTCTTTCTCCACTCAGCATCTTTGGGGCCTACAGCATGGATGTGATCACTGGCACATCATTTGGAGTGAACATCGACTCTCTCAACAATCCAAACGACCCCTTTGTGGAAAGCACCAAGAAGCTTATAAGATTCGACTTTTCAGATCCATTCTTTCTCTCAATAAGTATGTGAACTACTATTTCCTTTTCTCTTTCTTTTAAAAATAACTGCTTTATTGAGATGTAATTCGCATACCATGTAATTCATCCACTTAAAATGTACAGTTCAATGGTTTGCAATGTGCTTGAAGATATGTGTGACCATCAACATTGTAAACCCTAAAACATTTTTGTCAATCTAGAGACCTCATACACTTTTAGCTATCAACCCCCTGCCACAAACCCTGTCATCATATGCAACACTAATCAACTTTCTGCCTCTTTATATTTATGTACAGAAAACATAAAGAGGCAGAAAGTTGCCTACTCTGGACACTTCATAGAAATGGTATTAATTTGTCAGTTTTTTTTATTCTCTGGTTCATGAATTTGTACTTTAGTCTGTATCATTTTCTTTCTTCTGCTGGCTTTAGGCTTAGTTTGCACTTCTTTGTTTACTGTGTTGTGGCATGAATGTAGATTATTGGTTTGTGATTTTTTGTTCTCCTAAGTTTAGACGTTATAGCTATAAATTTCCCTCTGAGCACTTCCTTTGCTAAATCCCATGAGTTGTTGGCCTATCACATCTTAATTTGTTTTCACCTCAAAACAGTCTCTATTTGCCCTTTGGATTTCTACTTTGACTCATTGGTTACTTAAGAGTTTATTATTTAACTTTCACATATATGTGAGTTTCCCAATTTTCTTTCCCTTATTGATTTTAGCTTTACTCCATGATAGGTGACAGAGATATGCTATGTTATTTCTATCGTGACTACTATTTCTTGAACAGCATGATTAATTTAAGCAGCACATTATGATTTGGGTTATCCTAAGAGACTCTAGTCCAATAGATAAAGGCTAAGAAATTAGGGCATTGAATTTTGTTTCTTTCATCATTCGAAAGATGCAGAAGTGGCTGCTGATCTCACTTCTGTAGTGGTGGTCCCTATGTATAGACCTGCCCTTGCTCAGCCACTGGCCTGGAAGATGGGCAAAAGTCATAGAAGGAATGGCTTCCAGTTGACAACCTTGATGTCTTTTACTCTTCTGATTGGTAGAGAAAATTAGAATTGCTCTGGTAAATTTTGCATGTTCACAATGGTTTCTTTTCTGTTGTTTTGTTTTTCCTACAGCAATCTTTCCATTCCTTACCCCAATTCTTGAAGCATTAAATATTTCTATGTTTCCAAGAGATTCTACAAGTTTTTTAAGAGAATCTGTAAAAAGGATAAAAGAAAGTCGCCTCAAAGATACACATAAGGTAAAATCTGGTGGTAGTTATAGGAGGATGTTTATTTTTTCATAATTTGTTAGATAATATACATATGATTGGTGCACTTACCTATATGTTTTAAAAGAAAGATTTTAAGATAGAGAGTAATTATGTTTAGAGCAGGAGAATTCATTTGGTAGGAATGCAGAAGGTGCAGTTTGGGGAAGGAGATATGAGAATGAGTCAGAGACAGCACTTAAAATTTGTTATCAGGCGCAACAATTAGTATGCCATGGCATAAATACTATTGAGATAAAATTTTACCACTTCACTTCCCTTCAATAAATTGTCAAAGGATAAACATTACTGTTTGGAAATATATTTTACTGGTATTATACTTTCCCCAGATCATAGATTGGTAAAGAGTCATTTCAAATACAAGCCTGTTATTTTACACATTCTGCAATGAAAGGCCCTATCAGGCTACCTGCTGAAGTATAGTGTGTGTTACATCTGAGCCCTCTCACAACCTGAAGTGAACAGAGGTCTTCTCTGGGAACTGAGGCTGTAAAGCTGGCTAACTCAACTTTGCTTTATGAGCCCTAGAGGCCAGCCAAAGGATGTCTACAGGTCACGGAGGCAGGACTGGATAACCCAGGTGTCAATGAAGATTGTATAGAGCTTGGGAATGTTGGAGTATTTGAAGATGCTCCCACCAAAGCTGCTAAGTTCTGGAAATGTCAGGAGATTAATCTTTGTGGACATTGGAAAGAAGACAAGAATAAAAGGTCCAGGACTTCTTCATGGGTACCAGTTATGCCCACAGAAAGAGCTAGCAACTCTTTGGCCGGAAAGCTGTGTCCAAAAGACAGAGGACTGAGGATCAGGAAGGAGCAAAGACCAAAAAGCAATTGAACATGATAGCCAGATTTGTTTCAGGAAAACATCCTGCTTTCCAAGGATTTAGATGGATATTTTTTTCACTGGTGACTCAGGCAACACCCAACAGATTTCTGGTCTTCAAGGGGCCATATTCTCAGAAGGGAGGTTGAGGACTGCACTTCTGATTTACTTCTGACTTCATGAGTCACTTTCTGTCAATGTAATGTCTCTTTTTGCTTCTAGCACCGAGTGGATTTCCTTCAGCTGATGATTGACTCCCAGAATTCGAAAGAAACTGAGTCCCACAAAGGTAAACAAAGAGTGCTTCCGGGGGCTACTGGTGGGGCACTAAGAGGGAGGTCCTTGTTCTGAAAATGTGCAGGAAGTATTCGAGGAAGATGAGAATTTCTGCCACATAGCAGAACGACACATGTTTGGATGTATAAATGGTAGCAAAGGCACTTTCTAGAGGCATACAGGCATAGATAGCCATGTTCTAAGCTTGAAGGGCAACCCTAAGCAAACCCGGCATGCCATAAAGTCAGTGGTCTGTGGATCACCTACATTAGATCAAATGCCAGTTCTCAGTCTCCTCCAGATCCACTGAAACAAAACTTCTGCCTGGAAATTTATTAGGTTGCTGCAAAAGTAATTGTGGTTTTTGTCATGACTTTTAATGGCCAAAACTGCAATTACTTTTACAGCAACCTAATACATCTAACATCCAGTCAGGAGACACGCTGTCCAAATAAGGGTGATTTTAACTGGCAGTACTTGCTGAAAGTGTGTTCACAAAGTTAATCTACTGCAAAGTTATTTTTTTCCCTTTCGAATGGATAAGTAATTTGTAGGGGAAATCTCTGAGACCAAGTAAATATCCTCTTTGTCTTTAATCTTTCACCTACTAGTTTTACAACCCATGTATGGTTTTTACTAAAGTCATTATTATAATGACAGTGGCAAAATGATGACAATGGTCAATTTCAAGCCACCAAGATTTGGCAACCATCTCACAAAATTCCCAAATATTTACCCATTGGTTCTAGAAAGCAGGACTGGGGTAACTCTAGTAGTCTGCTTTAAATATGTCCATGTCTACATCTACTTCTGTCTGTCTATCATCTATCAATTATGTGTCCATCTATCATCTATCTACTTATCTATTCTCTATCATATATCATCTATCTATTAATCTATCTCAATACAACTTGCTGTGATAAAGGAAATAGTCTACTCTTTCATATAGAAATCACTAGACACATATGGCTATTGAGCACTGGACATGTGGCTAGTGCCACTGAAGAACAATTTTAAATGGTATTTAAGTTTAATTGAATGAAATTTGATTTTAAATAGCCACATGTGGATAGAGGCTACCTTATTGGACAGGAGAGTTCTAAACTTTGAGCTTATGGTTCAATTCCACATCAGTATCATCAGGTACATGGTAACTGAATACAATTATTAGATAGTTGAATTTATCCATGACTACATCACAGAAATCTTCACTGGTAAATCACAGCTCTGTCGACCTTTCTCACACTCATTTCATATTGGTTTTGGTTGTGAATTACATGGTTGGAGCAGGCACCATATTTATTTCTGTGTTCCAGGTCTCTAAGGTCCTAATCCAGTCCTGATCAATTAGATGAGTGATGGAGCATCCTGAGCTTCTCTCAGGAGAAAAATCAAGAGGGGGGCCAACTTGTAATCATAGGAGCTTATGCTCTTTTAATGCCATTCGTCAGACTACAATCAGTCACCAATCATATAGCTTTTTGTCCATCTCTAGTTCCTGTACATCATGAGATAGCAAATTCTGAAACCTGTAGCGTGGCTCTATCCCCTAACACCTCTCAAACATATAATTCATGCTTCTCAAGCTAGGCTATGCAAACAAATCACTATATCTTGTGAAAGTTCAGATTTTGAATCAGTAGTTCAAGGGTGGGGTTTGAGATTTTGCATTTCTAATAAACTCCCAGATGCTTCTGAACTGTGGACCACACTTTGAGTAGCTAGAGGTGGTCTGTAGTCCAATATTGGTCCCTTAAATTCCCTCACACATATCTACAGGAAAGGTCCTTTAATTTTCCCTATATTTAACCATTAATGTTGCAAATTCCCTCAAAGTTTGTCAAGGTATATTGTAGCTAAAATAAATTACATTTTTCTTCGGGGAGAAGACTACCCCATATTAATTTACAATAAAGTACTTTTAGGATCATTCAAGAAGCACACCCATAACACTGAGTAGGTTATGTAGAAACACTCTATCTGAAAATTACCCAGCTGTGCAGGTGGCCGGGATGGCATGAGGAGGAGTGGATGGCCCACATTCTTGTATGCCTTGGGGAAAACTGGATGAAAATGATTTGCCTTGTTCTGGCTCTGTAAGATACACATCAGAGTGAAACTATCCCCAGTGTGACTCTGAATTGCTTTTCTGTTTTTTCCCCTAGGGATTTGAGGGCTTCACTTAGATTTCTCTTCATCTAAACTGTGATGCCTTCCATTGATCTGATTTACTTAAAATGTCTTTCCTCTCCTTTCAGCTCTGTCTGATCTGGAGCTCGTGGCCCAATCAATTATCTTCATTTTTGCTGGCTATGAAACCACCAGCAGTACTCTTTCCTTCATTATGTATGAACTGGCCACTCACCCTGATGTCCAGCAGAAACTGCAGGAGGAAATTGATGCAGTTTTACCCAACAAGGTGAGTGGATGATACATAGAGAAGGAGGGAGGAGGTGAAGCCTCAGTAAAAATGCCTCCTCACCACTTCCCAGGAGAATTTTTATAAAAAGCGTAATTAGTGATTCTTTCACTGACACTATGTAGGAAGGCTCTGAGGGGAGAAACATAGGGAATGGTTGCGATTGGCAGATTTATAAGATCTTTGTAAAACAGTGCTGGCCCTGGTTCATCTGCTTCCTGTTACCACAATAACGCTAAGTTAAAAACATCCAAAAACCTCAGTGGCATCCAACAACAGGCAGTTGTTGCTCACACATCTGCATAGTGAGCTCTGCTGATATTGGCAGGACATGCTCGGGTCTGGCTGAGGTCTGACAGAGCTTGGCCCTGGGTGTTCTGCACAGGCTGACTCAGCTCTACCCCACACCTGTCTCATGTTCCAGTAAGGTAGCTACTGGTGAAGAAGCCAAGCTAGGAACCAGGATATCTGAATCCTGAGCTAAACTCTTAACCTCTATAATATTGCCTTCCAAATATAACACCAAGTACAAGGTGCATATCACCCACACTGTTTTCAGGCCTCTGCCAAAACTGGGATTCTTTGTGGTATGAAGAAACCTAGCTTCTGGGGCTGGCCCTATGGTGGCAGTGAGGTGAACACAAAGGGATAGAGATTACAGTCCAGCCCTGAAGCAACAACTAGGAGACTGTTTCAACAAATGAGGACAGGGCTGTTCCAGCCTCTTTATAACTTTCACTAGCATTGAAATTGTGTGCTCTGGTAACATCCAACCAGAACCTTCTTTTATCATATTTGGGATAAAAAGGGACTAGTTTATTCTCAAATTATTGACAGAGATTTTATATAATATAGTGTTTCTCTCCACATTTATTTATATAACAAAAGTCCTGCTTTTTTTTTGTACACACACACATATATAATACAAATCCTGCTTTGTAACTCTTGTTGTTTGTATATATAACAAAAAGTTACCATGCAGGACTTTGCAACCAATAATCCTTGTGTGGCACAGAGAATTTGCTTCTTTTATCTGTTTTTACTTTTCTGGTTACAGGCATATGACTTCTTTTTTGAAAGGTGACAGTCACTTTATCACATTTTATTTGATGCTAGTGGTCATAGCCTATTAGTCACATCTATTTCCATGAGAAAGAAAAACCACTATACAGTTATGCTAAAGATTTTAGTACCTGGGGTGAGATGGTCCTGAATGTCTCTCACCTTCATTACTCCTCCACATATCTCAGTGGCCATTCAGCACATCAATGGGCATGACAGTTATTAAAATACTTTATGAATGCTACGATCCTTTACCAGTATGAGTTAGTCTCTGAAGCTCCTAACACTTCAGTAGTACTACATGGAGTGAGTTAAAAGTTAATTCAAATTATCAATGTATCCAAATCTGTTTCTTTCTTTCCAGGCACCAGCCACCTATGACACCGTGCTACAGATGGAGTATCTTGACATGGTGGTGAATGAAACACTCAGATTATTCCCACTTGCTATGAGACTTGAGAGGGTCTGCAAGAAAGATGTTGAAATCAACGGGATGTTCATTCCCAAAGGGGTAGTGGTGATGATTCCAAGCTATGCTCTTCACTATGACCCAAAGTACTGGACAGAACCTGAGAAGTTCCTCCCTGAAAGGTACAAGGCCCCTGGGAAGGGAGCCCTCCCTGAACCAGACTGGTTCAAGCATATTCTGCCTGTCTTAATCTACAGGACACTCATGTGGTCGTACAATCATTTGCTTGTCTTTTTTAAAAGTTTTTTTTTTAATCATCAAATTGATCACTGTCACACTTTACAAACCATAGACTAGAAAAAAGAAAGCTATAGCTACCCACAGTCCCAACAACTTAAGATAAAGGTCATCAATTATGTCCTTATGCGTCATAAGTCTCCAAAATATATGGACTCTTTTAAAACACATGATCATAATGCTATTATTATTTATCCCCCAAATGAATATTTTTTTCTTAATATAATCAAATATTTAGGAATCAAATTTGAATAAAACATTTTTTATTGGATCTAATATTCAAAGAATTTATAGCTTAGTGGAACAGACAAAGCAGCAATGATACTGCTGTACATCAGTACAGTAGCATCATATGGCCATGTAAATTATCTGACTTAAACTATTCTATGGAGGAGTGGGGGAGAAAGAAGGAGAAACAGGGAGAAATGGAGAGAACAAGAAGGAGGGATAAGACAAGGTAGGGAGGAGAATTAGAAAAACAAGAGAGGAGAGAAGGAAAGTGCAAAATAACAATTTTGAAATAGGGCAAGACAATTTCCCCTTCTCCTTCCACATGACCAACATAAGTGTGATTTGAGGCAGGAACCTACTTTTCCATCAATCAGTCTCATCACTTATTTGCCTTTTATAGTGTCAATAAATCACCACCATGAATATAATTTTAGTGTTTAGAAATAAATATTCTTGGCTGGGCATGGTGGCTCATGCCTGTGAGCCAACACTTTGGGAGGCTGAGGCAGGCGGATATTGGTCAAGGTCAAGATATTGAGACCATCCGGGCCAACACGGTGAAACCCCATCTCTACTAAAAATATACAAATTAGCCAGGTGTGGTGGTGGACGCCTGTAGTCCCAGCTATGCGAGAGACTGAGGCAGGAGAATCACTTGAACCTGGGAGGCGGAGGTTGCAGTGAGCCAAGATTGTGCCATTGTACTCCAGCCTGGGCAACAGAGTGAGACTCCATCTCAAAAAGAAAGAAAGAAAGAAAGAAAGATTCTATGCAACACCATTTATCTCAACAAGACTGAAAGCTCCTATAGTGTAAGGAGAGTAGAAAGGATCTGTAGCTTACAATTCTCATAGCAAAATAAGCGTAGCAGGATTTCAATGACCAGCCCACAAAAGTATCCTGTATACTACTAGTTGAGGGGTGGGCCCTAAGTAAGAAACCCTAACATGTAACTCTTTGGGGTATTATGTCATTAACTTTTTAATCTACCAATCTGGAACTAGGTTCAGTAAGAAGAACAAGGACAACATAGATCCTTACATATACACACCCTTCGGAACTGGACCCAGAAACTGCATTGGCATGAGGTTTGCTCTCATGAACATGAAACTTGCTCTAATCAGAGTCCTTCAGAACTTCTCCTTCAAACCTTGTAAAGAAACACAGGTAAGTCAATTTTTGTATAAATAGTGTTTTATTAATTATTATTTTAACTGAATGGTCTATATATTTTAAAAAGAATATGCTCATTTAATCTTTTAATAATTTCTTCTATGGGCCAAAGAACATATTTGGACTCATCTATGATTTTTAAGGTTTCTCATGTGAAGCCAAGGTTGAGAATGACTAATTTAAGCATTTCTGGTAGATATGAAGGACTACCACAGTCCAAGAGCATCCTTACTGACCTCACCTTCCAGATGCCTAGCTCCATCCAACTGGGCTACTTTTCAACCCCGTTATAACTCTATTAATGTTCTTTCCTCTTTCTTCCTCATTCTGTTCTTATCTTTCAAGTCATAGTTCAATTCCCAAGCCCTTCCGAAGTGTCTTTTCCACCTAGTCCAGGATCCATTTACTCCTCTGCTCTGTTATTGGTTACTGGAGGCTATTATCATATAATTTCATAATTTGCTATTAAATCACTGAGTTTTGTTCTCTATATTTTCTCTGTATCTAAGAATATCTTCCTTCCTCCATTAACAATATCCTCTCATTTTACTCCTTTTAAAATATCCCAGTGGTGCCTTACAAGAGACTTTATCTAATGCAAGTATTTGGTAAATATTTAAGGAGTGATGTGCAGTCAATTGACTTGCATACAAACATTAAGCTATTTAAACATTAAGCTATTTAATGTGAACATTTAACAAATGACATTCATGTATATATGTGTGTGTGCACATGTGCATGTGCATGTCTGTCTGCAGGGAAATATATTCATGCCTTTTGAAATTTTTTAAATAATGTTTTATATTTATAGAAAGATTAGGAATCTTTTCCCTGAAGAAGTTAAAGAACAGATGTCATTGATTCATATTAAGCAAGACCCTATCAATCTTATTTCTAGGTCTCATGTACTTATTATGCAACTCTGCCCCTTAAGTAAGCTTTCTACATAGGAGAGGAAGAAGATAGAGATGGTTTCCATATTTCCATATTCCATATTATTTATAGCTTCATGTCAGCTGTGTAGCTATCCTCTATGTGTGCTTAGACAGGGGACTCAGCCCTGAGAAAAAGTGGTCCTCTGGCACACCTGGGATGGGGAAGTACTCCCTGGTAAGCTTCCAAGCTGGCACTTCTTGATCTCCATGGCAGTTTTCTTGCCCATTACTCTGTGGAGATCAGAATATCACTCTGTTGTGTCCCCTCAATACTGAAGGAGTGTCTCAGTAAGAAAGAATGGGGCAAAAAAAAAAAAGGGGGGGGCTACAAGTTGAGTCAAAATACTGTAGGAATTGAGGAGTTCCCCACTTGCACTACCCTTAGAAGCCAAGGGGAGATGTGAAAAAATAAAATGATAATGCTTACTGAAGGTGTCTTCCCATCTTTACACTGGATGGGTTCAACTGGGAGGAATTACTGGACTCTGGAAGTTGAAGACTGTCCACATAATTGCAATGTACAATAGCTACTCATGATCACCTTGAAAGTTTCAACATACACAAAATTAACTTTATATGACTCTTCAAAAATAGTTTGCCATCACACCTAATAATCTGGTTTAAATTTTAAAAACTCCTCATCCATTTTACTTACAATTTAAATCCAAAAGAACACAGGTTCCCATGAATTTGTCTCAAGCCTGGCACAGAATAGGTGCTCCATAAATATTTTGTTAAATGATAGATGATGAATGGTCTCACTATCCAGTCTTCACACATTATAAAGTAAGTATAAAGAATCCAAGATTTATAGTGCTGAAAGTAGTTTTCATATGTTCACAAAGCATTATTGTCATTAATGCATTTTTTTTACTTTGATGCTATACTTTCTACTTTTGCTTTATTTAATGCTTCTCAATATGCTTGTTTAACTGTTGCAGATCCCCCTGAAATTACGCTTAGGAGGACTTCTTCAAACAGAAAAACCCATTGTTCTAAAGGTTGAGCCAAGGGATGGGACTGTAAGTGGAGCCTGAATTTCCCTAAGGACTTCTGCTTTGCTCTTGAAGAAAGCTGTGCCTCAGAACATCAGCGATCTCAAATTACTTTCTCAATAGAACCTTGAAATAAAGATGGGCTTAATCTAATGTACTGCATAAATAACTGGGGATTATGTACATGCATTGAGCTATCTCACTGACTGTGTAGAGTGTTACAGTTGGTAATATAAAGGAGGTGACCTAGATTTGGCTTCTCTGCTTCTCATAGGACTATCTCCATCACCCCCCACTGCCCCCGCTTAGCACCATTAACTCCTTCTGCACTCTAAGAGAATAAACATTTCTCAATAATTTCATCCACAATTAATGAAAAGAATTATTTTTATGGTTCTAACAGTGATATTTATATGAGATGTTTTATCAGGAGTATTCTATGAAAAGTTTTATATTAAGCAAATAAATAAAAATCTCTTTACAAAAGTATTATTGCATGCTTTCCTGCACATTAAGGAGAAATCTATAGAAGTGAATAACTGAGAACCAACAAGTAAATATTTTTGATCATTGTAACCACTGTGGGTGTGGGGCCTTTGTCAGAACTCCAATTTGATTACTAACATAGGTGAGAGTTAATCCACTGTATCTTTGCCCATTATTTAGAAAGAACATTCACAGTTTAATTATGCCTTTTTTGACTGGGCACAGTGGCTCACACCTGTAATCCCAGCACTTTGATCACTTGAAGTCAGGAGTTCAGGACCAGCCTGGGCAAAATGGTGAAACCCATGTCTACTAAAAATACAAAAATAACTGTGTGTGGTGGCATGTGCCTGTAATCTCAGCGACCCTGGAGGCTGAGGCAGGAGAATCACTTGAACCTGGGAGGTGGAGGTTGCAGTGAGCTGAGATTGCAGCACTGCACTCCAGCCTGGGTGAGTGAGACTCCATCTCAAAATATAATTTGTAACATACAACTGAATCTCTTACTATGTTATTAGTTTTGAGTTAATGTTTTCAGCCCATCTCCCCTGATATTTCTGGGAGAAGGAAACATGTTTTCTTACACCTTTTGCATTCCAGCCTCAACTCCTGTCTTAATACAATGAACACTTAATAAAAAAGAGTCAGTTGGTCAATTGACTGGGCAACAAGGCTAAAAGTATTCATTCCTTTTCTTTTCCTATTCCTTCCTTTACTTTCCCTTTCTGAAAATTTAGTCCTAAAGCCACTAGGTGGGTGGCAGCCAGACGGTGGCCACACATTAAGGTAGAGAAGAGAAAGTCATGGTGTCTCCAAGTCAGAAACCAAGTAGGGTGAGGACCAAGCAGATGTTCTTGTGGAGAGACAGCCTGGCCAGGCTATGGGAGTCCAAGCAAGCAGAGAAGGGGTCCACACAGAGGGGTGGCCAGCAACAGCTAGAGCCTAAATAGGGCCGACAGAACCCAAGTGAGGAGAGAAAGGCATCTGTGAGTGGGAGGGGATGGGTGAGAGTTGGCTCCATAAAGGGGATTGATCAAATAAGTAAATATATTAAGGATGATGGAAGCCAGGCTTCTCAACTTTGCAGAAAGGAGTCATGGATTCAGAAAGGTAGAAAACTAGCATGAATCCTATGAAATTAGATCGAAATGAATGTATCCGTGTATATTCATATCCTTCTAGACAGATAAAAGATAACAATACAGACATAAATGTATGTATGTATGTGTGTGTGTACAAAAAACATATGTACCCTACTTCTCTCCACTGATAGGGCTAGGTAACAATCACATTTCAATAGCAATGAGTACACTTAGTGCCTAGATGTTGGCTTATGAATACCATTTTGCACTAAAGGGAACCAGAGCTCTTTAGAAAAATGGCTGATTTGGCCGGGCACGGTGGCTCAAGCCTGTAATCCCAGCACTTTGGGAGGCCAAGGCGGGTGGATCACGAGGTCAAGAGATCGAGACCATCCTGGTCAACATGGTGAAACCCTGCCTCTACTAAAAATACAAAAAATTAGCTGGGCATGGTGGTGCGTGCCTGTAATTCCAGCTACTCAGGAGGCTGAGGCAGGAGAATTGCCTGAACCCAGGAGGCAGAGGTTGTGGTGAGCCGAGATTGCGCCATTGCACTCCAGCCTGGGTAACATGAGTGAAACTCCGTCTCAAAAAAAAAAAAAAAAAAAAGAAAAATGTTCAAGATAAGCCTAGAATACATTTTCTGCCAGGAAGCAAGAAACTGTTCAAATGATTTCCAAGTAATGTTTGGAAATGATATTTGAAAATGATTTCCAAATGATATTTCCAAATGATTTCCAAACGATTTCCAAATGATATTTGGAAAAACCTAAAGATTCCACCAAAGAACGATTAGAACTTATACACAAATTCAGTAAAGTTGCAGAATACAAAATCAACATACAAAAATCAGTATCATTTCTGCCAATAGTGAACAATCTGGCAAAAATTTAAAAAGTAATCCCATTTACAATAGCCACAAATAAAACTAAATACCTAGGAATTAATCAAAGAAGGGAAATATCTCTACAATGAATACTGTAAAACACTGATGAAAGAAATTGAAGACACAAAAAGGATATTCCATGTTTATATATTATAAGAATCGATATTGTTAAAAATGTCCAACTACCCAAAGCAATGTACAGATTCAATGCAATCCCTCAAAATGCCAATGACATTCTTCAAAGAAATAGATTTAAAAATCCTAAAATTCATATGAAACCACAGAATAGCCAAAGCTATCTTCAGTAAAAAGGACAAAACTTGAGAAATCGTATTACCCAATTTCAAATTATACTACAGAGGTACAGTGACCAAAACAGCATGATACTTGTATAAAAACAGACACATAGACCAATGAAATACAATAGAAAACCCAGAAACGAATCCACACATTTTCAGTGAACTCATTTTCAACAATATTGCTAAGAACATATACTGGGGAAAAGACAGTCTCTTCAATAAATGGTGCTGGGAAAGCTGGATATCACTATGCAGAAGAATGACACTAGACCCCTATATTTCACCAGACACAAAAATCAAATTAAGGTGGGTTAAAGACTAAAATCTGGCTGAGCTCAGTTGCTCATGCCTGTAATCCCAGCATTTTGAGAAACCAAGGTGGGTGGATAACTTGAGGTCAGGTGTTGGAGACCAGCCTGGCCAACATGGTAAATAAAACCCTACCTCTACCAAAAAATACAAAAGTCAGCTGGGCATAGTGGTGCATGCCTGTAGTCCCAGCTACTCAGGAGGCTGAGGTGGGAGAATCACTTGGGCCCGGGAGGTGGAGGTTGCAGTGAGCCAAGATAGTGCCAATGCACCCCAGCCTGGGCAACAGAGTAAAAATCTGTCTCAAAAAAAGAAAGAGTCCATGGGAAAGGTGGCAAAATAGGAACAGCTCTGGTATGCAGCTCCCAGCAAGATCAATGCAGAAGGCAGGTGGATTTCCAGATTGCTAACTGAGGGATCACAGCTCCTTGCTAGCAAGGGAGCAAAACTGGATGGAGACTGAGTTTTACAAATTGACAGAGGCAGGCTTCAGAAAGTGGGTAATAACAAACTTCTCTGAGCTAAAGGAGAGATTTTTTGTCAGCATCAGGCCCACCCTACAAGAGCTCCTGAAAGGAGCACTAAAAATGGAAAGGAACAACCGGTACCAGCTGCTGCAAAAACATACCGAATTGTAAAGAACATCAGCGCTAGGAAGAAACTGCACCAACTAATGGGCAAAATATCCAGCTAACATCATAATGGCAGGATGAAATTCACATATAACAATATTAACCTTAAATGTTAATGGGCTGATAGCCCCAATTAAAAGACACAGACTGGCAAACTGGATAAAGAGTCAAGACCCACTGGTGTGTATATTCAGGACACTTATCTCACATGCAAAGACACACATAGGCTCAAAATAAAGGGATGGAGGATGATTTACCAAGCTAATGGAAAGGAAAAAAAAAGCAGGGGTTGCAGTCCTAGTCTCTCATAAAATAGACTTTAAACCAGCAAAGATCAAAGGAGACAAGGAAGGCATTACATAATAGTAAAGGGCTCAATGCAACAAGAAGAACTAACTATCCTAAATATTTATGCCACCAATGCAGGAGCACCCAGATACATAAAGCAAGTTCTTAGAGGCCTACAAAGAGACTTAGACTCCCACACAATAATAGTGGGAGACTTTAACACCCCACTGTCAATATTAGACAGATCAATGAAACAGTAAATTAACAAGGATATCCAGGACATAAACTCAGCTCTGGACCAAGCAGACCTAATAGACAGCTACAGAACCTTCCACACAACATCAACAGAATATTCATTCTTCTCAGCACCACACTGCACTTATTCTAAAATTGACAACATGATTGGAAGTAAAACACTCATGAGCAAATGCAAAAGGACAAAAATCATAACAGTCTCTCAGACCACAGTGCAATCAAATTAGAACTCAGGATTAAGAAACTCACTCAAAGGCGCAGTGGCTCATGCCTGTAATCCCAGCACTTTGGGAGGCTGAGGTGGGTGGATCAAGAGGTCAGGAGATCAAGGCCATCCTGGTCAACATGGTGAAACCCCACCTCTACTAAACTATGAAGAAACTAGCCAGGTGTGGTGGTGCGTGCCTGTAGTCCAAGCTACTCAGAAGGCTGAGGCAGGGGAATGGCTTGAACCTGGGAGGCGGAGGTTGCAGTGAGCCGAGATTGGGTCACTACACTCGAACCTAGCGACAGGGCAAGACTCCGTATCAAAACAACAACAACAACAACAACAAAAAACCTCACTCAAAACCAGACAACTACATGGAAACTGAACAACCTGCTCCTGAATGACTACTGGATACATAACAAAATGAAGACACAATTAAAGATGTTCTTTGAAACAAATGAGAATGAAGACGCAATGTCCCAGAATCTCTGGGACACATTTAGAGCAGTGTGTAGAGGGAAATTTATAGCACTAAACGTCCACAAGAGAAAGCAGGAAAGATCCAAAATCGACACCTTAATGTCACAATTAAATGAACTAGAGGAGCAAAAACAAACAAATTCAAAAGCCAGCAAAGGACAAGAAATAACTAAGATCAGAGCAGAACTGAAGGAGACAGAGACACAAAAAAACTCTTCAAAAAATCAATGAATTCAGCGCTGGTTTGTTGAAAAGATCAACAAAATAGATTGACCACTAGTCAGACTAATAAAGAAGAAAAGAGAGAAGAATCAAATAGATGCAATAAAAAATGATAAAGGTAATATCACTACTGATCCCATAGAAATACAAACCACCATCAGAGAATACTATAAACATCTCTATGCAAATAAAACTGAAAATCTAGAAGAAATGGATAAATTCCTGGACACTTGCACCCTCCCAAGACTAAACCAGGAAGGAGTTGAATCCCTGAATAGACCAATGATGAGGTCTGAAATTGAGACAGCCATTAATAGCCTACCAACCAACCAAAGTCCAGGA